CTTAATAATTTATATTGAGAGAAGCATACAATTATATATAATTTTTTTCTAGTTTTTTTAAAGAACAATGAAGATCCGTGCGCATCTAGTACTCCTACAGGTCTTAATGTATCTGGATAACCACTTCCTAAAAGGTAACATTCTAATTGTGTATGTTATATAAATTATTGGATTATTTTTGATGTAAATAACTTATTTTAGAAAATTATCACTGCTTAAGTTAATGCCGAATTAAATATAAAATATTTTAGATATTCAAATCTTTTGTGTACCTAAAAAGCATTTTATTTCAGAATCAGTAATTTTTAATTATGTTTTTATAATTTTTTATCTATTTTTAAGTAACTGGTTCCATCAAATGCACTTATTCTTATTCTTTATGTAAAATATTTTAATACATATCCATATACATTTACAGTATATTGTCTCCAGACGATACTAATTTTATCATTGAAGACAATAGTTTATAGTAACTGCATTCAACATTCAACAAAAGAAAAGAGATGGTCAAAAGATTCACAGGTTATTGTTCGGACAATGGCATAGTAATTAATCCCAAAAAAAATGTCTACGATCACTATCCAAAGTAGGCTTTTGCACATTCAAATATAATTAGAAAGTTGACGTTTTTCTCGAACTGTCATAATTTGACATTATTGGCGCAAACGTGCACCAAAGTAACTTTGGCACACGCTTGTCTGTTTTCATTTGAATGAAATAAATGAAAGCTATTTTAAAACAATATATAAGTTAATCGAAAATATTAAATTGACTTCCTAATATTTTAAATCATTTAACAGTATTTTCTGTAAATAATTAATCATAAATAATTACCGACACATAAGTACTAAAAACTTTTCTCTTCGACAGATTGCCGTGCTCCGCTAACGCGTCGCTCGGCAACTTTTTGTCTCAACTGCCAAATGTGTTACTTTCTGTTCTTAATACACAAATAGCTATTTTGTCTTTTATGCCAAAATATGCTTTACAAAATATCAGTTATTACACTAAATAAATCTATTGAGCAGGTTCTTCATTAAGAGTTTGTAGGAGTAACCACTGATAGTAAAATGACATTCGAAATGTCACAAAAGAAGCTTCCTTCAGTTTTTTTTTTCTATTCGGACAAATTAGAAATAAAGTATCTCTTGATGCAAAGGGTGATAAAAGAATATGTGGAAGTACGATCCCTATGCACTGCTTCATATCTTAATAATTTAAAATTTAAGTTTAAACAAAAATAAACTAAACCGAAGGGCGGTAGGGGTAAATATTTTTGTTGAATAAACACATGTCCGACATACAGGGAATTTTAACCAAAAGTTATAGCGTCTATTATATATTTACAATGTTGATACTTGTTTTGAATAAAGCAACTAAAAATACTACTTTATTGTCTCTTTATATTTTTGCGAATTTCTTTTCGCTTTCTGATAAACAAATAATATCTAAACTTTTGCATGCACGTCTCTGAAGCAACTAAAAATACATCTCAAAACGAAAGGCGCTATGCAACAAAAAAAAATAAAAGACAAAGAGTTGTATTTTATAACGTTTTATCAAAACCATTATAAAAATTTAAAAATATACATGGTAATATTCTTTTTCAGCAGAAATCTAATAAAATTATATAATAACGCTGGATACACGCTAAAAGGTCCAAAAGATAATTTATTAAAATAGGTAACAACAAACTTTAAAAAATTCATTGAAATTAATTAAAATATTTCGAGATATTCATTAAAATTTGAATTTTATTTAAAACTTTTATCTTGGAAACGAAGAGTTTTCGGACATACATTTTTAGAACAAAAATTGTGTATTTTACCGTCTCCTACCATCCTAAAAGATTGTCGGCATATATATGTATTTAGGGTGTTCCATTTAAAACGAACATTTTTTTTTGATTCGCTGACACATGAAAATTTTGTTCCTTTTATCAAAAAAAACTTCCCTTAAAATTTGAGCCCGTAATTTTGATTTTAAGTGGTTCCTTTCGATCGATGTATGTTTCCCATTTAAATAACAAATAGACCATGATTTTTAAAATTTAAATTAATATAGCTCCGTTTGATTTCATGGTAATCCATTGCGATTAGTCTGAATTTGTAGTACATTAGTGACTCTTTGAAAGTGCCTACTAACATTTTTTTGTACTTGAACCCGTCTCATCGGTGTCGGCTTCGAAAGCCCAATTTTTTCAAAAATTATTATATTTTCGTTCTTATCAACAAAAGAGTTGAAGTTATAAAAAAAAATTGTCAAAGAACAATTTGTAGGAAATTAAATTTTCTCCCTGTATATATAATTTATATTTGTGTAAATTGTAAATAACCATAATAATATAGTTTTGTCTAAATTCAAGACAATTTTAAAATATGGCAACACGGCGCCGAAGCTTTCACTACTTTTGCTTCGTCGGACATCTATAATTTAGGTCCTGAACTAAAAAACAACATGGACGTAGTGAAATTATCAATTTTAGATGAAATCGTATTTTGTACAGAACTTAAAAAGTACGCAACATTGATTATTAAAATTTGGCAAGAATATTCAGAAAAATATGTAGAATGCTATAAAGTTTTTTGAACTACATCTGTGACTATCACTTTTTTATATTTTTTAATAGTATTTAATAAATAGCAGGACAAATGAAAATGTCTCATTTCAATCATTAAACATTTTTCTATAATCTGCCAAAGTTTCATTAAAATCCATCCAGTGAAAAATAAGTTCTGTAAAAAATCGTAAACCTATGTTTTGACAACCTAAAATACACTGAAATGGCGCCCTTAAGCTAATGTGTTTTAGCCTTGTCCATATATTATAAAATCATTACTGATTACTCTCCTAAATGAGTTATTATACCATTACACAAATAATGCTAAAAATAGGTGTCGTGACATGCAACCCAAATGATATATATGTAATGGAAAGATTCTATTTATATATTTATGTATCTGAAATAAAATTGTTTTACTTTTTTTAATAAGTTTTTTATTTCATAACCTGTAGAAAAGGATTTCTGACAATACCCACGTAAAAATAATATTAAATGGCGCTATATTTTTACTTGTTCTTCATGTATTTAAAAAAAAAAGTAGGTAACAACAACACAATAAGCAACCGGAGTTGCTAAGTTGAAAATTGTACAAATACTAGCAAAAAAAACAGTGAAACTTATATAACAAATTTCACTAACAAAGTGAAAATTAAATCAAAGAAATAAATGGATAGGTGTACAATAAGAAAAATTACCTTTATTTTTGTGATAATAACAGTAATGCTGGAAATAGTAGACATCAGAAACTAGAAAGTTTTTAAATAAACAATAAATTATCATTTTACGATGTTCTTTAATATCCCTTTATTTTTAAATGTTCATTCAGCAAGGACTAGATTTCAAGATTTCTGCCGTTGATAATAATATTTGGCTGGTATGCAATTTTGTGACTTACTGATCGGAAACCAGTTTTAATCATTCATTCTGTTTTCTTTAAGGTTGAAAATGAAAATATAAGTAGCGATCCTTTTTATACATTTTAACTTCACGCTATTATAAATGGTTTCTTCAATGACAACTTATTACACTTAGGCAACTTCTCATACATTTTCCAGTAAATACTGTTGCCTGCCTATATTTTATTATTGATTTTTAATGATTATACATAATTTTCTTCAATTTAAGCGTGAAAAATATATAATAATAATAAATTAATGTTTTAATTGTTTTATAAATCCATATACTTTTATTAAAACTAACATATATACTTTTTATTTACGAATTCTATTAAAAATTGTATTTGTCAGTATAAGCAGAAATAGTCCTTTAATACCAAAACAATTTGGCGCTGCTGTCGCGCACGGAGTGAATAACATGCGGACAGAAGTTGTATTAGGTATACAGTGTGAAGGACGAGTCTATCTTAGATAATATGATGTCTATGGTTGACACATCAGTGTAGTTACCTATATTTACTTACGTGTTCATACCTGCTTGCCAGGTAGCCATGAACAGAAATAAGTAAACAAGCCTAGCGAGGCATATTCTCCATGTTAAAAACTATCTGTTAAAATTACATTTGTTCGGTTATCAGTAAAGTGAAAGTTATCAAAAATAATTGATTAATATTTATTTAATTAAAAATAGCCATGAACACTTTTTGAATGGCAAGTTCCCATAGGCATGTTAATAAATCAATAAAATTTCTAAAAAAATATGTCTCATCTGGTTATCAGATGAGTGAAGATCGATCTCCCACGGTCTCCTCTACTATAAGGTTTTAATTTAAAGAAACTATAAGGCAATTCAAATAAAGTTGCTCTACAACAGTTTTTGACTAAAGGATTTATATATTTATTGCACAATATAATACCTAACGTTTCCATAATTTAACCATACTAGTGATCGCCTCAACTTTTTCAGTGGGTTCATTTACTATTACATGCTATTCTTTTGAGAATACTTCTAAAATGGTTATATTTTTAGCAACAACCAATCGCCACTATTTGAAAAAAGGTATTAAAATCTGTGCAGGTAAATGAAAAATTATATTTTATAAATTTGAATTTAAAAAGCGGGTCAATTGAGTAGTTTAGCGTGGCGCGTGACAGCAAGTGGAAAAGCGTGGTAATCACGCCTAAAGCAACCCTAGATACGGTTAAGAGAGCGGCAACCTTAAAGATGCAGCAAAATAGATCAACTCAACTGCCCTACACCTCAAAATAGAAAAAATATTTTCTAATTTCTATAGAGAATATATGGAAAAATAAATAGAAACTGAAAATAAAATTAGGTAAGAAGCGAATACATTTTCCTGTTACTAATTAAAGTTAATTAAAATTCTCAAGTCATCCAGATTTTACTTATTTTCCAGGTTGCATAGAACCCGTCAACGTTTATTCTTATTCACCATCTATTCAATGTTTTAAATAAATGCAAGGAAAGCTAACCTATCAAAAAAACACGTTTTAACTCGCTAAAAATAACCGTTATCACTTTAAGCATCTCCTAAATCTAAAAAATGATTTTTAAAATACTTGTCGACAGACTCGTTTAGGTTTATGTACTCTTCGTCCATGGGTTCGTCCGTAGCAGCACCTTCTTGTCCGATATCCTCAACGTCTAGATTGATATCAGTAGGTGGGGGATCGGTATTGAGAATTTCTGATAAATCTTTAGAAGTCAAGTCATTTAAAATATCTTGAAGCATATCGATTTCCTCCTGTGTATCGTCGACGTACATACTGAGATTTTCTTTAGGGTTATCTATTATGTTAGGTTTTTCTTTCGTGACAGATTTTGTTCTGGTTAACGCAGGTTGGGACTCAAGATTGACCTTTTTTTCAGTGGTAATACCAGTAACTGGAACGTCAATACCATCGTCAAATAAGTTTCCTAAATTTTCGTCAATTGTAGGGTTATTTAAAAGGTTATCTATACTGGTCGGTTCTTGCAGCTTCTCATTTTCTTTTAAAATCTCCCACAAAGCCCCTTCCGGATTGGAAGATTTAGACGATTTTATGTTTTGAGCAAAATTGTGTTTCATTGAAGTTTGTTTCGGAGATTGATTGGGAGATATTTTAATTAAATTCGTTTTCGTAGCTACGGGTTTAATGTTTTTATTTGAAATTACTTGTTTTAGGTTTTTAGCAGGAATTTTAATAAATTTCGGTTTTTTATTGAAGTTATTTGTAATTGGTTTATTTATTGGATTTTTTATAATTGAAGGATCCATTACTTTCAACTTTTTACTGGCCAAGTCTGATTGAAGTAGATTTAGATTAGGCTGAGTTATTTTGTACTTCATTATTCCAGATTTTGTATTTATAGGTATTTCTTTAGTTATGGTATTATTTTGAGAATTTATTATAACAGGATTCAAATCTACGTTTTCTAAAATGTTTGCATTGTTCTCAACATTGTTTAATTTTATTGGACTCAAATCTGTAACGTCTACGTATTCTGGATGGTCAAGTGGCTCAATTATTGCGTCATTGTTGTCAGTTGGATAACTAATGATATATTCAGGGGTATCCTCAGGTGTTTCAACGGTGATATCTTCTGTTGCCTGTTGGTCATTTGGATCATTTAGATTTTCTATTTTTGCATCTAGTTCTTGAAAGGTTTCGTCTGCGTCTTCTTCACAAAGCCTACAAAAATGTTATTCACAGTATAAGCAGCGGTAATGATTAATTAAATATAGGAAATAATGGAAAAAACAACGTGAGTTTTGTTCAATAAAATTTTTAAATATTTTTAAATACTAAATTAAATTTGTTGATGGAATGTTAAAAAAAAAAAATAAAAAAGTGCTTACAAGAATGTGTAAAGATGACCACTCTAGGTATACATTCATTAAAAAAATCTTTAGATATAAAAAAGGAGTAATAATAAAATATCTTAATTAAAATCAAAATCTTTAGACATAGAAATTAAGCAGTAATAGAATGTGTGAAGAATGTTGCCATCTGGTCAGTAATTTCACTCACATAGATAAATGCATTTTAATTTAATACAAAAATTATTTTAAAATAAAGTGAGTACTTATTTATCAGTACATTTTTGCACCACCTCTAAGGTATTACCAGAGAATAACTAAACGCCGAGAAGCGACAGCTTTGTCGGAACGTTTGATGTTTGTGGGGTCGATTTGCGATGACCTTGAAGACACCATAATTACACCGCACGCAAGCTGAATTGGCTCAGTCGCGCGATCGCGCGGAAATTTGAAATTTACACTCCTCAACTCTAAATATTGGGATCTAAAATTAAGATCGCAGCGCCGTCTGTACTTAACATTTAAACTAATTGTTATGGCTTGTTATTGTTTACATTTTTGAGTTTGTAAACAAACAACCCATAAAAAGTATTTAGTTTATATATTGTGCTATTTTAAGGAAAACACGAGGGAAAACATATTGTTGTTAATTTTTAGTGATTAGATACTTTTATTTCAATAGTTTTTAGGTTAAAGTAGAATATATATTTTTATTTGGTAAGTAACCCCCTATTAATTTTGTTTTTAAATTACATTCATTCATTTATGTTAATTTAAGATATATTTGTGTTATCTTTTAATAAAATATTAATATATTTATTTTTTTTTTTAGTGAGATGTCTGAAATAAGGCTAAGTTTAATAGAACTTATGAAGTATATTGATGCAGGTGAAAATTCCAGGACTGTTATTAAAGAAGATGCTATTTTAAATGCGGGCCACATAGTTTTTATGTGGAAAGAATGAATTTAGTGATAAACACGTTTTTGCAGTTGTTCTCCAAACTAGTGCATTGAATTCAGGTCCCCATATTGTTGTAGGCCAGTGCAAGATGTATGAAATTAGTGAATGGCAGTGTTTGTTTTAAGCTGGGAACAGTGGACAGTGCAAACATATTTCAGGAGTCTTAATAAAGTGTTCTAGGTGTATACTGTTTCAAATAATAAAAGAACTATCAAGCTAATTCGATCGAATACCTTTTGATTTTGTTCTACACCCACATGTATATTATTTATTTTACGCACTGATTAAAGAACGATAAAGTAGGCCATTGAACGAATATATTTATCCATTCTATGAACACTGTACAGATATGAAATCCACCAATATTTGGTCACCAGGATACCATTATTTTTTTAAATTTTAAATGAGTAACAATTCTGTCAAACTAATTTTCAGCATAGTTTTTAGTTATTGAGATTAAATATAAATTACAAATGATTATTGTGAAGAATCGATAAATAATGGCACTACACAAGATATTCTTTTATATTTTCAAATAAATCTAAAATCAGTTTATGATTATTACAAAAACTATGTGTCCTTGGTACGGAAGCAGAATATGTATGGCTTCACTTTTATGTTTGCATAAACTGTTTGATAATCAAATTATTATTTCAATGTTCCATAATTTTATTTAACAAGATGTTTTAAAACATATAGAATAATTATTCTTTTAAAATCATCTATTAACACAAGTAGGTACTATTTTGTTCGTTTGTTAGTTTTGATGTAAAATTTACTTAGTCATAATTTTAATTTGTAGTTTGTATTAGTTTTTAGTCTTAATACTTTTATGATATATTATTTAATCCATGTTACTTATTATCTTACAAACAATTGTATGACACTTCGCAAGTGTTCTTATTCTTACCTTTTTAACACACTGATGTTTGTAATGTTTGGATAGTGTGTGAATAATTATGATATTAATAACATAAGTAATTCATGTGATCTCTTCTTTAATACAATAAATGAAAATGTACAGCTTGAAATTTATGATTGATTTTGTACTTGAGAGAATACTCTTTTTAATAATTATTTTTATTCTCAAGTTTACTAGTCATTCTGTACAGTTACATTTTCTAATGAGTGATTGTACATTGATAATGTATTTTTGTACATTTTTTATATTATTCTGTAATGGAATAGTTCGACACATGCAACGAAGACTATAGTAACTCATTATTTCCAGTTTTGAGAAAATCTAAGATAATATAGTATTCAAAGTATTTTATGGCCTAAAATGATTTACTATATTTGATGGTAGTATTTCTGGTTGCTTAACCTCTTCGTTTAGATATACAATACTTATTTAGATCAAAGCTTTTGGCAAATATATGTGCTGGATAAAGGTAACTAAAAACTCTCAAAAATGAGTCTTCGTTGCATGGGTCGAGTTGATTCTGTGGGTAAAAAGGCTATTATTATAAGCAATAAATATAAAAATCTAATATTTTTTATTTTTCCTGTTAACAAAATATGCCAATGTTTACATAATAATAAACGTTCTTTATTGAGTTACAATACCCAATAGGCCATCTTCTGAAGTACTTCAGCTGATTTGACTGTATTTTCTAGTACAGTATGTTAAAGTTGTTAATACCAGTGAATGAACACAACTCTTTGTCAGATTTTAAAAGATCTGAAATTGTTTTAATTTTTGGGGTATGCGCACTTGTACACTAATGGCAATATACTTGAAAAAGAGTATTTGCAACCTCTGTCTTGTTTGGCGTGAGTAACTAGGTTATCTTGAAACAAATCACTCTCAACTATGACTTTGTTTAATCTCACTATCACATTTAACACTGATTGAACTTTTTTTAGTTTGGACACAAAATCTTTATTCTGTGGCTTGGATCTTCTTTTTGTTCTCTCAATATTTGATTTTGAAGTTTATTGAACAGAATCGTCAAACATTTACTTAAAAACTGGCAGGAAGACACATCGATTTTTTTTATATTTATTTTCACTTTGGATGAGGCATCTACAACACAAAAAAAGGTAAAATAAAAACATTCAATCGAAAAATAAATCTATATTACCTCTAGGCAAATCATCTTCTTTAAAATGCTTCTCAATTTTTAATTTTTGTAACCATGCATTTCTTGCAGAATTTCCACTTGCAATTTATAAAAATTACTCTACATTTACCAACTTTAGGAAGCAAATGAAATGTAAAAGAAGGTCCATTTTTTTAAGGGCTGCATCCAGGCACCCAACAAGTGTGTTTTTCACTGATATTCCACTTATAGTTCAAATAAAATAATATTTTAATATATATGATATAAATTTAAAGCATTAGCTTATTATTAAATAAGATATTTCAAACAAAATACTTGTTAAATTTTAAAATATTGAAATGACCTGATAAACAATAAACAAAACTTGACAGAACACAGACGGTCAAGTGTCAAATGGCATAACTTTTAGTTCACAGTAGAGGGCGTATCGCTTATCTTCAGATCCCAATGTTTTTAGTAAGGGAGTAAATCACACAGTAATAACTGAAATAAATAATTCAAAACAGTCGAAACTACAGTTGTTGCGCTCGGATTAAAATCGCTGGACACCTTCGTATACGGTGTCGCGCTAATCTAGCTGGCCACATGCAAATAGACACCATATTTTCGATCATGCGCCGTCGAAAACCGACCCGGCGGGAAAAGGTCTTTGTCGCTTCTCAGCGTTTGGTTATTCTCGGGTATTACCATGGCTCCATGTTTAGTGTTTGGTTCGCATATACAGTGTGACCAACTTAAGATTAGAATGTCCCTGTAAAAATGCATATTTAATATTTAATTTCGAAGACTCTTTTTCTTTATTATGCAGAGTGTCAAAAAGGATACCCTGATCCAAATTTAAATATAAACACAATTATTTTCCAGTCATCATTTTTTCCAAAAACGAGTGTTTACTAGTGATATTTTTTTACTTTATAATGGAAAAATCCGATATTTAAATATAAAATATTGTTTAAGAACTTTAATTTCGGGAATGCACTATACTTCAACCTTAGGTTTAAGGATCTGGAGTATATTCCACATACTGAGACTTGTTTTGTTTCAGAACCGTCAGTGTAGATATGAATCGAACCTGTCACTTCTGGTTCCTCTATTTGTTCTGTTATAACTTGAAGCAGTGGAAGCGTATCGAACGCCTCCTGCCAAAAGCGACGTCTCACCTCACCAGATCCTACATCAGGTTCTATGCCAACCGTGCAGAGGAGTGTCATTGTGAAAAACCTCTTTGATGTAAATATCAAAGGGAGTGAGACTAAGAATGACTTCCGTGGCTCTGGTCAGTGTGTTTTTCATAGCTCCTGAATGTTGAGATATGCTGTTGCTTTGAATTTGTTCTAGTTTAAGAATAGCTGTCAATTTTTGGGTTTTCGGTACTCAGACAACTGCACAGTATGTTAGCATAGGTCTTATGATAGCAGTGTAAGTTCATACAACGAGTCTGGGGAAGAAACCCCAGGTGCGTCCCAAGATTCGGCGGTATTGTTTATAAGCAATGTATTAGCATACACTGATTTCTAAGTGTGAGTTGGATGTAATCTTGCTGTCAAAGGTGAGATCTAGTTACTTCACCTCTGTTTCAAAGTTAATTTTGTGCTTAAGAGTTCTGGAGGTTTTAATTCCATTTTCATCCTTTTCTTTGTGTAAAGGACCGTTTATATCTTCTTGGATTTGATAGACAGTAAGTGTTCCTTGCACCACTGTTCTATTATTTTGAGAGCTACTTGCATTCTTTAGCAGATTATGTTCTGGAAATTGCCTGTTTGCAGAATGATCAAGTCATCTGCATACGCTATTGTGTAGTGACTGTCATCATTGAGGCAGCTGATGAAGGTGTCGAGGATTATGTC